TAAATTGCCTCAAAAAATCATTAGAGGCAACTTTCATATATTTAGAGGCAATTATGTCTTGCCTCTATACATCCATTTTATTGTAGTATGACACGATTTCCAGACATGCTCCAAGGATGGTAAATTTAGGTCAGCCCATATTGAGACCCCTTCCTGGTATTCCCACCAAAGTTTGATGGCTGAAATCTTTTGGATGTCATTCAAAGACCTTATACCAACCCCTCCATGCTCCTTAGGTTTACATAGGTCTTTGAATTTTATCCAATGATGTTTAGGCCTATGATTTATACTCCCCCAAAAAATCTTGCCACCTTTCTTTTGATCATGCTAAGAACAGATTTAGGCAAACTAGTAACTGTCTGAATGTGTAGAAGTAAAGAGTTAAGCACATACTTAATTAACACCAATCTGCCCCCTTGAGATAACATCCTTTTGCCCCCATGAAGAGAGTTTTTTTTTATCAAAGGAGTCCAAGAATTCCTTATAGTGGAACAATCGGGTAATCCCTTGATGAAGTTGGATTCCCAAGTATTTAAATGGTAGTTTAGAAATCTTCATGCCTAAAATGTTTTCAGTATGCAAAATCCTAGAAACATTTGTATGTTATCCCGCTACAAAACAACTTTTTCCGTTGTTGACGAGCTGACCTGAAGCTTGTTGATATAACTGTAAGAAGTTTCTAAAATTCTGAGATCATCCGCAAAGGCCAAATGCGTACTTTGAATACTTCTTCCCATATTATAAGCTTCAATGGCCCTTGAAAACACTAAAGTTTTTAATCCTCTAGAGAAAACTTCGGACATAATTATGCATAGCAAGGGGGACAATGGGTCCCCTTGTTTCACACCCCTAAAGGGCTTGAAAAAACCATAGGGAGCTCCATTAATCAAGATAGAAATGAAAGTAGCTTGGAGATTTCCCATAATCAAATTTATAACATGCTGCCCAAAACCAAATTTACTTAGGATAGCCTGTAGGAAATCCCATGACACCCTATCAAATGCCTTAGCCATATCCAATTTAACAACAATATTTGAGCCTCTTACTTTCCTATCCAAATTATGCAACATCTCAAGAGCAGTTAGAACCTGGTTTTTCATCTCTCTCCCTTCCATAAACCTGGATTGTTCCCAAGAGATAATTTCCGGCATAATAGAGGCCAGTCTAGTCGCCAAGATCCTTGTGTTAACCTTGCTAATGAACGTAGATAAAAAAGATTGGCCAAAAATCTCCAAAAGATACCAGGTTCTTTTTTTGGAATTAAAACCATATTAACACTTCCCACTCCCTTAGGAATAGGAAGACCCAAGTAGAATTCCTGAACAGCCAGAACTACATCTCTTTTAATAAACTCCCAGCAGCCCTTATAGAAACACCCTCCATAACCATCTGGACCTGGGGCAGCCTCTTGACTGAGATTCCAAATTGCCTCCTTGACCTCGACAGCCTCTTGACTGAGATTCCAAATTGCTTCCTTGACCTCGGAAGTCTAGCAAACAAAGCATTATCCGTTTCATTTAGCACCTGAGGAATATTATAAAGCACCCTATCATAGGTAGAAGTCTATTCCTCCTGATATAGTTTAGTGAAAAAAGAAACCACTTCAGCTGCAATTCGACCTTGATCATAACACCACTCCCCATTAGTTGTTTTAATGGCTATGATATTCTGCCTCCTCATCTTTTGCTTAGCCACCTCATGGAAGTAGTGAGAGTTAGCATCCCCTTCCCGAAGCCATTTAACGGTTGCCTTTTGTTTCCAATACAATTCTTGTTGCTTAGCCCTATATATATAAGGTGTGGTTCCAATGAGAACGATGCTTAACGTGAGAACGTGAGAACACTCACAATTAGCCCGATGTGATACACAATAGAGCCCGTCTGGTGCACATTTTGACTTTGCGCGAAAAAAGCCAATATAAATAATGACGGTGACATTTTTGTAAATATCATGCTGAACACAAGAAAGTGAATTGAACGAGCCTCATTGTGCATCACATTGGTATAAATAGGAGAACAATTCATCATCTTTTTGCTGCACATTGCTAATTTTGCTTTTTGAGAGATGAGGAGACAGAGGCAGGATAATACCTTTTGTGGAAAGCTTTCTTCATGGCCGTCCAAGAATCTATGCTTCCCGAGGGAAGTTAGAATAGCCAATCTTTAGCGGTGTCTTTGAGGGAGAATGGAAAAGCCCTCAACTTGATTTGCTCCTCGGTCACACCATTCGGACACATACTTGTGCAAACAATGTGAAATTCTGAAAGATGTTTCTTCGGATCCTCTCCTCTTAAGCCATGGAAAGATGAAAGTAGATGAATAACCCCGGATTTTAACTCGAATGTAGCACCCGCATCAAGAGTTGGGAATGTGATACATAGGGGTTACGTTGTTGGTTGAGATTAGGAGCCGTGAGCTCCCTCGATGTTATTGTTTCAAGAGTCATAGTTATTGGCTCTTCGGGCTCGCTGGAATGAGAACTAGCCTTGATGATTCTCCCGAGTCGGTAATTGAGAATTTGTTTTTCAACAGCTCGAGAGTTTGCTCTATTTCAGGGTTTGTTTGGTAGGTGAGTTGGTTTATAGATTGGGTTCTTACCATAAAGTCAAACAAAGCTCAGAAAAATAGAAATCTTTGTAATTTTATTACGAATATTTTATTTTTATTTTTCTTGAAATAAAATAAAAAGAAAAATTAATTGTCTTTCCCTGGCAATGGCGCCAAATTTGGTGTGCACTTTGTCGTGGTGTGCACTCAAAATAAATTCGATATCCAATTCATCGAGGGTAGTTATTAACAACGACCGTTCATTAATAACCCTTACTATTAGCCAAATATAGAACACCATCATATACCGACTTGATAGTAGCATTTAATCTTTTTAACTCTTTGATGAAATCAATTGAGATTGATAACCTCAACACAACGGTTACGGTTTAACCAATAAAATTAATCCCTCTTATGTTTATTAACCACGACCGTGCATTAATAAACCGAAGTTACTTGTGAAATCATCAACGATTAACCATCGGTTCGTTGACCGTTTCTAGTAATAATTAATGTTGAAGCGTTAACTATTTGTCACTTAGCAACCCTCCAACATTAATATAGAAATAAGATTAAGGGAAAAATTAATATTCAAGAGAAGAAGTTAGGAAAATAACTCACAACTTTAATATTCAACAAGCTTCAAGAGCAAAACCAAGAAATAGAAGTTCAACTCCTCATTTGGAGACTAAACATGCTAGAAAAATATAAAATAAATGCTATTCTAAATTGAGCTTAAGAGTATGGAAGAAGGAATGAAATTTAGTGAAGGAAAAGTGTGTTATTTATAGGTGGTTTTCGACACCTTTGGTCAGGTACCCGACCGAGTATAGTGCTTACCCGACTGGATACCTGTCAACTTCGGATCGATTCACCATGATATTGTGTTTCAGCACGATTTGTTGTCTCGGGTCACTTCTCACCCGACCGGGTGATGTAATTTCCACGATGCTGCAGCTATTAAGTCTTACCCAATCGGATGAAGACCAATACCCGGCCGGGTATGTTCCTTGGGCAGTTTTTCTTCATGTATTTCCTCTTTTCCAATACCAACAATGTTGCCACAACTTTACAACTTACAAAATGAAAGCTAAAAACAATTACAAACAAAATCACACAAATGTTTACAAATTAAACTAAAACATAAAGGTAAACAATCCACACAAAACAAACATAAAAATATACATTTATGCACTACTAACTAGTGCATATCATAATGTACGGTTGTGGTTAATAAACTTAAGAGGGATTAATTTTGTTGGTTAAAACGAAACCGTTGTGTTAAGGTTATCAATTTCAATTGATTTCATCAAGGAGTTAAAAAGATTAAATGCTACTATTAAGTCAGTATATGATGTTGTTCTATATTTGGCTAATAGTAAGGGTTGCTATTGAACGGTCGTTATTAATAACTACTCTCGATGAATTGGATAAACTCCTCGATTGAGTATTATAGAATTTGTCTTAAAATTGACAAAAAAAATGATTAAACTTCCCAAATAGGACCACATATTTTGTACTTCATACATTTAAATAAGTGTAACATATTGAATTTTACATTATTCACATGTTATACTTTGACCACACTTTATTTATTAACCTATTAATAAATTATTTTTAAAAATATTACTTCATACTCCGTATTACATTTGCCTTATTGTAGATTTGCAAAATGTGATTTTTAAAATTTTTACTAATAGAGAATAATGCGAAGTACTCCCTCCGTCTCGTAGTAAGATTCCCTCGCGCTTTGCTATTTTTGAACGTCTCATATATTGAGGGAGCTAGGTCGTGTAGCAATTAGCTAGTTGTTGACAACATTGATATGATGACCTAATTGCGTACGTAATTGCGTTTCTTTTTCATTTTGAATTAATTTTGAAGTAAAATGCCATGATTTTTAATTTTTAACTTAATTTACAAGTTTTTGTTTTGCCAAAAAATTACAAGTTTTTGTTTTTTATTATGGAAATTGCCTTAAATTGGACAAAAAAATGATTAAACTTCCCAAATAGGACTACATATTTTGTACTTCCTCCGTTTAAATAAGTGTAACATATTGAGTTTTACATTATTCAAATGTTATACTTTGACCGCACTTTATTTATTAAGCTATTAATAAATTATTTAAAAAATTTATTACTTCATATTACATTTGCTTATTGTAGATTTGCAAAATGTGATTTTTTAATTTTACTAATAGAGAATAATACGAAGTACATCCTTCATCTCGTATAAAGGTTCCCGTTTTTCTTTTCTGGACGTCCCATATAATGGTTCTCATTTCAATTTTAGAAAATAATTAACAATCTTAAATGATAATTATATCATTAAATATTTAAAAAAACACAACATCACGGTTATTAACATTAACCTCATTATATTTTAGGGATTTGTCCATAAATAATTCAAAAATAAATGCTATGGACAAATATAGGATCACTTCTAAAAAATTCCAAAAATGAGACTAAAAAAACCCCTACCGGTGACAATGACCAATATGAATAGTGACTAATCTGACCGTTGCCAATTTGATCGTGACCAATTCAACCACTGGCCAATCCTATCTATGACCGTGACCAACCCGACCAATGGTCATGATCTGATCAGTGACCAACCCGATCAACGACCGTGACCAATCCAATCAGTGACCAACCCCACCAACGACCGTGACCGACCTGATCAGTGATCAAATCACAATTACCATGACCAAATTCGACCAGTGACCAACCCGACCAACGACCGTGACCGACCCGACCACTGACCAATCCACAGTTACCATGACCAAAGACGACTAGTAAACAGTCACTGCCGCTCTCGACCACCCCTGACCACCGCATCCCCGACCACCCCCAACCACCGCCGTCACAGACAACCACCACGTGAGCCTGATGACAGCCGTCACTGCCCCTGTCCGGGAAGTACACCCTCCTCAGCCCCTCCCCTGCACCAGCCCCATCCCCTCCACCAGCCCCCTCCCCTGCATCAGACTCTTTCCCCAGAACCTCTCGCACCCCTTAATCTCCAACCCTACCTTCCGCCGCCGCTAGATCTGGACCAGGATCTGGATCTCCGATGGTCGCCGTCGCCAACCGTCTGTAGTCTCAACTCAACGTCGCTTGCCTCCGATAGTCGGCCATCGCAGGTTGCTGCAGTGAGACGAAGAAGATGACAGATCTCCATTCCAGCAAAGAATCGAGAAGAAGAATAGAGATCTAAAGTTTCCTGGCGACGGTTCGGCGACGACGGTAACACGGGTGCTCGGCGATGGCTCGGCGACGACGGTAGCACAGGTGCTTGGCGACGGCTCGGCGATGACGGCTCGGCGACGACAGTGACATAGTTGCTGCGCGATGGAAGGTAGCGGAAGAGAGAAACTCTATCTTCCCATTTTAATTTGGTCCGCAGGTTAGTAGCACAGCAGGTCCCTTTTCTTTCTTTCACAAAAATGGTCCTGTTTTTGTCCAATCAAAGCTCTCAAGTCTTATTTTATCATTATTTCTATATTTTATACCTATTAAATTATTTATGAAAGTATACTCGAATTACCATATTTAATTATTGTCTAAATAATCGTGCCGTTTTGCCATTGCAACATGGGAAAAGAGTCAAATAAACCCTTGAATTTACATAAAAAGGTCAAATAAGTCCTTATATATGAGGCTCTCTTGGGCTGTTCTCTCTTGGGCTCAGCATCGTGTTTTCAGTAGGAAGAAGAACTTTAGATATGGTTCTGCTGTGAGGAAATTGAGTATTCAGAAGAAATGTCGAACAAGAAAAGGCATATTTGTTAGAGAGTATCCGAGATGGAATTAGCTGTTTGAATGCAAGGGATGAAGGTGGGAGCTTTCCACCCCAATCTATTGGTGTAGGGGCAAAGGTGATTTATGCTGTCTCTCCTGCCTTGGGTCACAACAAGGTACAGGAAGTTCAACAATGTACTTCGGTTTAACTGTGAAGTTATTCTAGGAGTTGCATATAGCTTATTTTCCTGACACTGGATGACTAGACTAGGTTTCTTACATTCACAGTAAAGTAAAAAAATCGAACTGTATACTTTATCTTATCCTAGAATCTTGATGGCTTTCACTTTTAGTATATCAAAATATTTCTATTGAATACCACCTTATCTATTTCATCAGGAATCACATCCAGAATGCAACTCCAGAGTCCCTGCAATTCTGAATGCTCTGGAGAAGATGGAGTTAACTTCAGAGCTATGGTACACATAGATGTTAAGTTTGATCAATTTTTGAATCGTGATCGCTTCGTATTTCATGCAGGTACTATATAAAACATATTGATAATAATCCTAGGTAACAAAATTAATACTCACAACAGGCAGAAAATGCTCATAGTTCTGGAATACTAAATCAAGTCTCATTGAATCATATGTATAATGTATAGTCGATGGAACGATTCTTCTCCATTTATGTTAAGCAAGTATTGGTATCACTGGGAGGCTATGTTGGATTGTGAAATATGTATCCTGAACCTATGATACTAAGAACTATGATGAGACACATAAAAGTCTCAAATATTTACATGCTTTGTTTTAAGTGCATGCACCCTCTCTAGTCTTTACATACATTTTAAAAAGGGTGTTCCTTGTTGACGCGAATGCACATTTAATTATCATACATCAAGTGCGGCCTCTGTCTGAAATAAAATTTACTAATACAAGCATACATCTTTTTTGGTTCAGAGTGAGTGTTATGATACAGACTTATAGTCTTATAGGAATCACCTAATCAAACAACTGCATTGTACTTCAACATGGAGCATCCGGTATCATTGAACTGCAGAAGTTTAGACCGGCTACAGTAGATGAAATAGCAGGTGTTCATACCACACCCTACATTTCAGGCCTTGAGAAGGTAACTCTTATCCTCCGTTGATATTTTTCATTTCAGCTATGAATCACAGTGCTCTCTACCTAAATAATTTCTGTAAGGCTTGGTGGAACTCCTACAGGGCTTGGACTTATGATTAATATTTAAGGCATTCTTCACATTCACGGATCTCTATTTTATCCTTAGTTTACCAATATTAGATATGGCATCAACTCCTTTTACTGTGACATCGTATTGTCTACTTGTGTATTATTTTCCTTACTTTTCTCTTTTATATTGCTTTCAGGCTATGAATCGGGCTTCAGAAGAAGGTCTAATTCTTATTGATGGGTCTGGACCAACTTATGCCACCGCAACCGTAACAATTGGCTTATTTTCTTTATCTCAATTCTCCTAATTGTTGTTTATGATGACAAGTGGTCTTAGTTGCATGGTGGCGGCATGGTTCCAGTGTTGTTATATAGTCTTGCTTTGGGGCGGGTGGGCTAATTTGTTGTTGTTATTGGTGTTGTCAGTATTTTATGGATGGGTTGAATATATTTATCACTGTTTGTTTCTAGTTTCTGCTATGTAGACTCTCTTTCACCCTTAGAGATCATTGTGATAACTTCACAATAGCAGTCAGCAGAACCCTCATCAAGTCAAGCCTGCTTAGTCAAGAGTGTATTGAGTTATTTACCGATAACTGAATGAACGAATCAATATGTTACATCAGTTTTGTTTCTATGCTATAATGTCATGAATGTTTGTAACTATAGTACCATTTTACTTTTCCTCTTTGACAATGATGCAGACATTCCAAGAGTCTTTAATGGCAGCCGGAGCTGGTATTTCTTTGCTTGATTCAGTGGTAACGTTTTAATATATGATGTTACTTTCCTTACTGATGAATGCTCACTTCTCCACTTTTTTAAGCTGCTAGGGTCATGAAGGACGGGGATTTCCCAATACCTGCCATTGTTGCTTCCATAATCTGCTAGCAGGCACGAACACTAAAGAGATGTTTCTGGTACCCTTTGCAACAAATGGATACGGCTGACATTTGTGGGGAACAGCAAGGAGGACTTTAGGTGTTGTTTGAGTTAGGGGGCTTGATTTGCAACCTTGACATATTTAAAAATCATGAAAAAAGGTTGTCATCCCTTTCATTTTTTCTTGAACGCCTCACTCAATCCTGTATCTGAACCAACTGGAGAAGGCTGGTTTGGAGAAGGACTTAAGCTAATTGTCAGAGAAAATATGAATGCTGTGACAACCCACATTCTGATATTATGTCATATTTCTTGCTTTTTTAAAATGTTGGACACAAGGCAAGCAATTGAACCTCTCCAGTCCTTACCACTTGCTGTGAAACATCCCAGAAACTTTTCTTCAGTGTCCTTGGCTGATTATGGTGCACCAAACACCAGGTAATGGGCGTTTCCCAACTTTCTTGGTGAATTGTTTTGGTAAAATCTTGGACAAATAATTCATTGCCAAGATTGGGTCATCAAAATGTGGATCAAACTGTAACTCAAATGCAGTGAATGGTAAAGGTGCATGAGAGATCATTGGAAGTTTTCTTTCGAATCTCAGTGAATCTTAGGATAGGAGTACTACAGTTTTTTGGAAGCCTTAGTTTAAATCACTTGCTTCTTCTAATGAGGCTGGTTACATCATTTTGAGTTACTTTGAAATTTTAACCTCACTATTTCAATATTTTGATTTGACAATCTACCAGAAACAGTGTTTGTAACTTTCTATGAAATTTTAGGTAGCTTCATCGAAAATTAGTCAGGACCCTCCTGTTGGTTTTGCTTTGATACGGCCTCCAGGTCATCATGCGGTTCCAAAGGGGGCCATGGGGTTTTGTGTGTTTGGAAATGTTGCAATTGCAGCACGTTACGCTCAGCGTGTGCATGGTTTAAAGCGTGTTTTTATCATTGACTTTGATGTTCATCATGGCAATGGAACCAACGATGCCTTCTATGAAGATCCCAATGTTCTTTTCCTTTCGACTCACCAAGTAAGTCACTATTGTATCATACCTGTTTGCATCTTCACAAGCAATATAAATTTTTTGTTTTCTCATTTGTGGGTAAATAGCATAAATGACACGATCACTAGTTAGCTAGGGGTATTGCTGATTATGTGAAATTGTTAACCTTACTTAAATTGTTTTTTTTTTTTACCTTACTTAAATTGGTAATGTGTGTAGGATGGGAGTTACCCTGGAACAGGTAAAGTATATCAGGTTGGAGCTGGAAAAGGTGAAGGATCAACTCTGAATCTTCCTTTACCAGGTGGATCAGGTGATACTGCCATGCGGAAGGTGTTTGATGATGTTATTGCACCATGTGCACAGAGGTTCAAACCAGATATAATCCTGGTCTCAGCCAGGTAATTTTCTTGATTTTAACTCATTAATTAAGCACATATACACTGTGCTCGTGTTTTAAGAAAAAACCAAGGGAGTTTGCAGGACAATAATAATCATATATACTACGTACTAATTAACAATAGTAATGATGATGATAATCAGGGGCGTAGCCAGGACACTGGGCTAGACTGGGCCGGTACAAAGAATATTATTGGGAAAAAATTTACACGAAATTTTTTACACTAAAAATATTGACATTTTTCAATTTTGGGGTGGGCCAGGGCCTAGCCTGGGCACCCCCTAGGTCCTCGAACTTTCATAAAAAGGTCAATTAAGTCCTTCTATAGGAGGTTCTGTCCGGCCGTCGCGATTTGGGGCAGTTCCCGGTGGAGTTTTTTGATGAAATTTTTTGAGCATCTTATTCACCAAGTCTAGTTTACTCATACCAAATTTCAGCTAAAATTTCAATCGGGAACACATTCAAATTAATTCTTGAAGATAACTGCGCATTTTTGCGTTCTCGAATTAATTTGAATGCGCTCCCGATTAAATTTTTAGCTAAAATTTGGTATGAGTAAACTAGACTTGATGAATAAGATGCTCTAAAAATTTCATCAAAAAATTCTACCGGGAACCGCCCCAAATCGCGATGACCGTACAGAGTCTCCTATAGAAGGACTTAATTGACTTTTTTATGAAAGTTCGAGGACCTATTTGACAGTTTTCCCTAATAATTATTATTATAGTTATTGTTTTGCATCCAGATATGATGCACACATGCTGGATCCCCTAGGCAGTCTGCAATTTACAACAGGGACATATTGTAAATTGTATATTGCAATTTACATGCTTGCTTACAACATCAAACAACTAGCCAAGAATTTGTGTGCTGGCAGCTGGCCGTTGCGTCTTTTTCTTGGAAGGAGGGTACAATCTGTACTCTCTTTCCCACTCAGTTGCAGACTCATTCCGCGCTTTTCTTGGGGAACCAAGCTTGGCTAAAACGTATGATGATGTTACTCTCTTGTACAAAGAACCATCTACCAAAGTAAATCAAGTAATAGAGAAAATCAAGCACATACATTCTCTCTGAGAAGAGATTCAGGTCAGTTTGTGTAATAATACTACTAGTCACCGTCAACTTCATATGTTTCCACAAAAAAAGTGTGGTAATTTCAACACTGGTACACCTTTAAAAAAAATTACACACTAAATGACTCAAGTTGTACATCCTTAGACCTCAAAGGAACATATTCTCCACGATAAACCTCTAGATGATCAGACAAAGAGGACTTGTCAATATTTTCATGGTGATATGATTTGCAGATAAAGTAGATGATCGTCTGAGTTGTGAGTCCGAAGAGTATCAAAACTGCCAACAACATTACAAACAAAATTCCATAAACTACCCTCCCTGCATCTCCACCTCCATAGCCGAGTACCACAAGGTACTCAAACCCTGTATGAATCCCGAAGAAAACCATGTTCATAAGCAAGAAAATGACCGATGAAATACCCATTTTACCCTTTATCAGGCTTTGACTCTTGATCATGGCATTTAGTCCATGCACATCTTCAAGCACCGATACCACACTCGCGAGATGATATATAACAGTGATATAAACAAAGCCCACCATGTAGATGATGAATAAAAGTGTAACAACGGACACTCCGATTGCTCCGGGGCCCACCGTTACCAGCCAGATAATCATAATGAACATGGCCATGACATTGTAAGCAAGAAGGATGGCAAAGCTCCATAGGAATGTGACCATTAGGCGTTTCCAGACTTTAGGGACAACGGACATGACCTTCTTGAAGGTGATGTCCTTGGCGGTGTAGATGGAGGCAATGGTGTAGACAACAGCGGAGGTGGAAAGGAGGGTGAGGATGAAGAAGAAGATGGAGTAGGCTATCTTGAAGAGCCAGAAGATGGTCCATTCAGAATACAGGACATCTGATATCTTGTTGTACGCCTTGGTTCCTTGCTGGATTCTATCAATAATATATTCGTCCCGAAGGATATCTGTGAAAATTAGGTCGGATATCTCAACATGTGCTAGGTAAATGAAAGCCAGAGGGATGATCATGGCGGATGTTATCTGCATAAAAATCTTCTTCCATGTTGAAACCAGGGTAAATGATTCCTTGAATATGCCGAGGAACCCGAGAAACTGAATCTCGTCTTGTTCTCTGTCCATTAATGTAATGATCAGATGAGATGAACAAATAATTAATCAAGAACGTATATGGAAGATGATGTTTTTTTTTCTCAATAGTTTTACAAAGGCATTATATGTATTCATCTGACACCTCATTATATTGAGGGAGGAGGATGAGGAAAGGTCTATTCTACGTTGAGAAAAGAACATTGACTTTTTGTTTTAAAAAGGAGCAAATTAAGCTGTAATTATCCTAGATGCCCGGTCAAAATTGACAAGCTTCGCACCATTTCCTTCTTTCTATTTTCCTTGGTGTTGACACAGCGTGCGAGAAAGGTGTCTGAAGATATCAACGCGGCGAACTATCCTATGTGACAAGGATATGGAATACACAATTAGAGAATGGTTTGAGTGAAATATTTCTTGATTCCCATATTCTCTCCTCACTTTTTTTTTATCATCAAATCCAACTCTTATATTAAACCACTAGGAAGCGGATCGTTAGAACAGACTCAAAAAGACCAACTTAGACAAAAACTATCTCTAACCAACTATTGCAATCAACCCCACGGCTAGACTCTGAGACGATCACCCCTAAAAGAGCAATGCGAATCGCTAACCACCAAGCGGGTGTGACACAACAATCACTGGCTATATAGATTCTTCTAATGACATAATATCTAGGAGAATTGACAATCATTATTATAGACCCAAAACTAAAAACCTCAATAAAAACGAAACACCGTAAACAAACATAATGCGAAAATAAGACCGTAAAAAATAGAATAACTGACAAATACTTCAAACTTCTTGAAATTTCACCTTCCAAATCCCAACATTGCGATCAATCCAAGGTGGCGGTTCTGGAGGGGGACGGACCGCCGATCTGTATTCTCCCTTGCTCAGCCCTTCGTCGCTCCTCGTCTGTTCATCGCCTGTGCTGAGGGTCGGAACCAAAACTGTCAACACCTGATCTGTGGCTAGATTGCCAATACCCGATTTCCATCTTCTTATACTGGTCCACGATGATTTCCATACAAGACTCGCTTTCCTCAAACAGCTAAATCGAATTCGCCCGTTGGAAATCTCTCCTCCGTTCGCTGCTTCGTCTTCTCAGTACGCCCGTCAAACACACCACAAAGCTGCCGGTCCGAACCAGAAACTCTTCACCTGCCTCCCTCGTCGCCCCACCTTCCGAATCCTTAATGCCAAAAATAAAATAGATTGCTGGAAATCCAGCCCCGCTCCTCGGCGTAAGCCGATAACGGACGCTAGCGGTTGGCCTTGCGGCAACAATAGAAAGGGAAACTTTCTAATAGAGTACAATTAAATACGGAGTATTTCTTCTTAAATATTCAATTTTAGTATGACAAAAAAGTTTTCTATCCTTACTTTTTTAGAACATCCCAATGTTTTATTCCCAATTTCATTTAATAAAAGATAAAAGATTTGCATGATTAATAGTATTGATCGTCTTTATATATTAATACAGTAATAACTGCAACATACAATTGTACATTTGTACATTATTAAAAGATGTACAATTTGATCAGTCTACTCTTTACTGAAATCATTATAGACTTAAACAGATCAAATCAAACAAATTTGAATTTAAACAATAGTAAAATACATGTATACAAGATGTTTACTAAATTTATACAAATCAAATCAGAATAGATGTTCCAATAAAAAAAGTGAACTCTAAAATAACAGTAAAAAGCAGTTTATAATGATACGAAGAGTGTGTCATAAACTTTTGTACGGATTATTAGACTTATACATGAAATGAATCTAAACAAGTAAAGAAGATTTTAAAAAACATGTACAAAACAAATTATTCGTCACTATAAATAACGTCCAACCTGAGTTTAGGGTCAATTAATATGAATTGTCATATAAACTAGAGTTAAACAGATAAAAAGATGAGCTAAAAAAGCCTCTTTACACTTCTGTCACTGTGTTAATTATGTTACAATGTTACATGAGCATCCTCAATACCTCCAGGTTCCGAGTCTAGTCTCTATTAACAATGTCAAATTATTAAAAGAGTTTCTAATCCACTCCCAAAAAAGAGTTTCTAATCAACATAATAAAAAGTGGAGTGATTGGATAGTGAGGAATGAAATAAGCCCCCAATGCATTTAGGCTTTGTTTGCAACCACTTATGCTTAAATAAAAACACTTTTTGAGAAAAAGTGATTAGTAGTAAAAGTTGGTAGTGTTTGATAAAATAAGTGCTTTTTGTGTAATAGAAAAAGTAAAAAGTAGATTCTACACAAAAACCGAGATAGTAAAAGTTGGTAGTGTTTGGTAAAATAAGTGTTTTTTTCTTAAAAAAAGCCAAAAACACTTATCAACAGAGATTGCAAACAGAGCCTTAGTCGGCCCATGAAAATGACCATGTGGAATTTAATATATATATATATATATTCAAATAATAGTAAAACTGCTAATATATACTCCGTATTAAATTAAAATAAAAGTGTCATGTGAAAACTTCCAATTGTTTCGTTTCACTCTTGTTTTCCTAAGACAAACTCCATTTTGGTGTGTGTCAGCAAGTTTGAAAGGATGTCTGCACATACACATCTATCTTCAAACCGCTCAATTTTTATTTTGTCATGTCAGTGGATCTTACTTACACACTACATACATTAGAGGAAAAAATGAGCAGTGTAAGTCGTCTAATTTAATGATGTTACACACTTTACCTAGACTAAACATATGTGCATTGGGATGCTCTTCTCACACAAACATTGAGATACGAAGAGTGTAAGAAAGATTTAAAAAAACACACAAATACTATTGAATATGATACTTGTTAGATTAAATGCGCTGAACATGAAAGGTATACTAGTATGATATAAAGAGCAATAAAAAATGAAAAATAAAAATAAAAAAAATATGAAAAAAAGAGCATAAATACTTGTATGATATAAAGAGCATAAATAGTTAAATACTAATCCGTACAAAAAGTAAACCAAAATTAGAAAGCCTTCGCAAAATTAGAGCATTGTAACAAATCTTTTGAAAAAGAAACATACTTGATGTACACCATTTTGTGTACATCATTTGCACGCAATGTCTGTCTACTCAGACAAAATTGTCTGTATACCAATAGTGTACATCAAGCATCCCTCTTTCTAAAAAGTTAAATTCAAATGAGAAGGCTTTATTTTAAATTTCATTTCAATCATCTCATATTTTACTTAAAATATTCGAGCGCTTATGAGATGAAATTTGAGCTATGGCCTATGGATAAATAAATTTTGGGTCACGTTGAATTGAGCATCAGACTGATTTTAAGTTTTCTTCAAAATTCAAAGGAAAATGTCATTTGTACACTTTTTTGTAAACTTTTGTTGTACACACACCCGTAGTTGCCTGTATACACAGGCAGCTCGTTCAGAATCCCTTGTGTACACATGCAACTAGGCAATGTGTACCACAAAAGTGTAGAAAAAAAGTGTACATGTAGCATGCTCCAAATTCAAATACCATTATGCATCCACTCTTCGCTGCCAAAACATTTAATTCCAATTTTGATTTAAATTGTCGCGCATCATCAATTCTCAGTCTCACGTGAATGCACTTGAAGTGTGTGCATTCCATAGGGCTTCTTACAATCTTACACGAGTAAATATTACTTTTGGTCCTACGAGTATGGTAACAACTAACATAACATTTTCTCAGAGCCGCAAAAGTTTCCCCTATGGTGGGGTAAAGGCGATCAAATGTACGCAACCTTACTTCTATACTAGAGCCCTTTCAAATGACTCATTATGAAAATGCGTTGAAAATTGCATGGACGGAGTTCTGCTTCATAAAAAGCGCAAACAATTCAGTGAGTCATTTTGTTTTATTTCATCATCTTTTCAAGCCGAAAATAGTGGATCTATGATTAGATTGAAATGGTTGAAATATTTTTGGTCATATGAGCATTGCACCGATTTCACATGTGGCCTTCATCTTTGACTTTGTTCACTTTGATACATGATCGTTAAAATTGCCGAAGAGGCGTCGAAAATTGAACGTAAGAACCAAAAATGGTCAAGAAAGATTAATTGAATTAAATGTACAAAGACGTGTGTTGAATTAATATAAAACTAGTAGAACCAAAAGTGGAATTCTACTTACATTGCGGAAGACCAAACAGCCTCCAGATAGGCCATTCGGACCATCTTAGTTTGCAGTGGGCAGTGATCGGCCAACCCCACCATTGGATGGCTTCCAATGATGCCAACAAAACATTCACCGCCAGACAGTAGCCAATGACTTCATGGAACCTCCATTAAACCCACCTTATTGGGACCTTGGTTGTTGCGAGCTCCAACTTCACCAATGACAAGGTTTGAACACCAATTGAATGCAACTTGTTGCTCCTCTATTTCATTTTATTTTTTGTGTATGCAAATGAAAGGCAATATGGCAATGGGACATGTGTGTGCGTGCACGAGTGGTATGGCTGGATCGAGGAAAATTCAAAAGCCAACACAATTACATCGAGAAGGGAAAAGTATAAACAAACCCAACCTATCAAACCTATCAATCCAACTTATCCAACCTTGATATTGACTGTATGAGTTGAGTTGGCCGATTAATATACCTTTACATACTCGTATGTGACTACTTTCTCATGTTGAAAAAACAATTACAAATGCCAAACCAATGGAGAAACTATAGTCTGGGTCCTTTGTGAAAAGTAAAAGCACCCCACGGAAACAAGAACGGCATCTACATCCAGCCAGTCAATCCATATTTGTCAGCAACATTGTACATCACCAGCTCATTCCACGAATTCCCAAATAGATTCTCTCCTCCAATCGCAAAGGTAATAGCCCATGAACAAAGAACAGCTGTGAACACAGCAAATCCAATAGCTGATCCAACCACATCTGAAGAAGGTCAAACTTAAATTAATAGATGGATCTATTTCATTCTTTAAATTTTGATGCGTAAAAAATATGCTTATTATTGTGTAGCACCAAGTGACACAAAGACAGTGGTTAATAGTTAAGTATAAAGTGGCCCAAATAAGGTGTCATTAAGAAATTCCTGAATAGCCAAAACAGTTCCGAACTGTCCATGAATTTGCATACAGTTCAAACTATTGAGCAACCAATACAACTATAGAAACTATGGTAATAATAAAAATCAGATAGCATATTAAGCTTTTGAGTGCCCCTGCTTATAACATTCATTAACACAGGGACATGTCAATAGCTTATGTCTAGAACATTTGTCAAAGAAAAACTATCTTTGAATAGAAAGGATATTTGCCACTTTTTTAATGAGAAATTGTTTTTGAAAAAATTAGTGTATTTGCAGATTTATATAAATTCTTGATTATTTGTCACTTTGTTCAGCATGACTGAAAAAGCAAGAACATTCACGACTACTCAATCAGGAACAACTTCGTTATTATATGCCACGGTGAACTGAACAAATTCATTCCTACGTACACACCACCAAACAACCTTTCTTTTCATTCAAGCTAATGGCTGACGTAAACTCTAACTGAAATACGGACTCTTATTGCATTCTATAGTTGCTTATTACTACACTATCTCACTTTTACTCATCCAATAGGCTTGTCAACAAAATGTAGGGGCACCGAAGAGTGTAGAAAAAGTGAAATATTAGGAGAAAGAATTCAAATAGTTGAAAAGAGAAGCTGAAAAAACTTATGTCTTTTGAGACATTTATAGTTGCAAAAATTGAAAAGTAAAGCATGTAATAATAAACTTCCGTAAGAGAAAAATAGTGCAAGCAAAAGTTAATACAGGGCCTTGTGGAAAATGGAGCCAATCCTTTGGAAATGGCCTTCATTAACACAAAGTCAGTGTACCACTTAATAATCCATTAGTAGGAACCTAGCTAAGAAGTTTTGGTGGAACAGCTTATGGTCATCCAGAGGTCCTTCAAGGCAGAGCATCAACTCTTTGCCTCTTTGGACAGCGCAATATTTTCATGTCACGAGTTTATGAAGTTTTTGAAGTATGAGCATAGACAATCTTACATGCTAGGACTGTGTGGTACCTAAGGAATGGGTAGAGTTAAAAAAAACCGGATATTTTATAAGCTGCTGATGAGCTTTGAATGGGGAGAACTTTGTCTAGGAATGGATACTAATGTGTTATGCTCTAATGAGCTTATTTTGCTTCAAACTCTATTATTCACGTACGCATGACACAGCCTTCCAACTGTACCCTAATATGGTCTGTAGCATTCATTATAAAATTGTTAATATTTCTACCAATTTGCATTTTGCATGATCAGATATCTTGAAAATCTTACATATATATATTGAACATGCGAAAAATACGATGTAGAACATTCCCCTATTATTACCCTAGATAACTTACTCGATTCTACGATTGCTCATTGAAAGGATCGATTGACACATTTCTATCCACAGAAGAAGAACCAATAGTCGAGTCACACTCGCAAGTGTCCCCTCGACGGTAAAAAAAATTGAGGTTATCATGGCGGCAGAAAACAGTCTTCAGCGGCTAATCGAAAAAAAGAACTTAAAATTTCTAAGCAATATATGGATACAGATGAGTGCATTGACTGAAAAATAAGATAAAAAAAAAATACTCCGTAAAATTTATGTATTTGGTAAAGCTCACAGCGGCGGAGATCGGGATGGAAGTAGGAAGAAGGGCTGCGAAGGACTGGCCAGAAATAAAAGCAATTGACGGCCCAAAGCCACGGGAGTAGCAAAAATCCGAACTTGAAGAACCTGCGGGCGTAGCCAATTGAGTCTTGCTCCGAGAGCCCAAGCGATCCGTCGACAGTAGCCCAGTCGGCTCGCAGTGAAGATCTGTGATGACTCCCGACGGAGTCTCCGGCGGTGGGAGCGTTAGTCACAGTATGATCTTGGCTATCCATTTTCCGTGGACCGCTCGCCCCAAAACCGGAATCACTCTATTTTATCCCCGTTGGCATTCTCTACTTCCGCTTTGTTTGCAATCACCTGTGCTTAAATAAAAGCACTTTTGGGGAAAAAGTGATTAGTAGTAAAAGTTAGTAGTATTTGGTAAAATAAGTGCTTTTTGTGTAATAGAAAAAGTAAAAAGTAGATTCTACACGGAAACCGAGAAAATAAAGTTGGTAGCGTTTGATAAAATAAGTGTTTTTTTCTTTAAAAAAAGTTAAAAACACTTTTTTAATGGATTGCAAACAGACTCTAAAGAAATGCTCCCTCCTTTATCTAAAGAAAGTCATATTCATAGATTATACTGTTTAAACATTATTTGACACTTTTTGACACTGTTTGGCATTATTTGATACTGTTTTGATGTAGATTTCTTTGCCAAATAAGAAAATAAAGGAAGTGTAGCTTTGTTTCTAAAACATCCAAAAAAAGAAAGTGTGACTTTGATTGTGAAACGGAGAGAGTATAAATTTTCTCAAAAATATCTCACTATTCAAAAATATTATTTAGAAAATGTGATCTAAAATACTATGAGCAGTATGAGACGATCACTTATAAACGAAGATTAAGTAACGAGAACTAAAGTATAGTCTAGTTTTTCTTGCATTTCTTTTAGTCATGTGAAACGATCTGCGAATCGTGTTGCTCATAGTCTAGCAAGAGTGGCAGGTTCTATGTCTGATCGTGTGATGTGGATTTCACAACCACCTTTATGTATCTGTGACATGTTGGTTCATGATTTAATTGATAATAATCATTTTTCCTTCAAAAAAAAAAAGAACTAAAGTATAGTCATTACATTTAAGATGTCATGTATTTGTAAATAATTTTTACTTTAATCATAAATACATAATTATTTCCATGGGAATTAGAGAAAATGTCAAAAGAATTACATACACTTTTAGATGATAAAAATGTGATTAGTTTTTCCCCCTAAAAATGTGACTAACATTTTTATAATTAGTACTTTATCTGTTTTTTAATAGCCCCGACATTTGCACCACTGATTTTGGTAGTTTGCCTTCCGGGTTAAAAAAATATTTTTTTAATAGTTGCAACATTTAATTTTTTGCATTATTCATACCTTACTTTGACCACGACTTTATACTAATATATATATAATCAAATTATTATGTATAAAATATTACTAAATTTCTATTAATGTGAATTTCCAAAATATTAATTTTTTATAATGTTTACTAATGCATATATAATTATAATTACAGTCAAAGTTGTGTGTTGACAAACGTGGAAGTCAAGCTTTTGCAATTATTGAAGAAAAAATGTTGACGTTGAAAAATTACAAATAAACTCATCCATTTTTCTAGAGTTTTTCAATCACATTTGTTAGAGAAACGCTGGAACAGGAGAAAATTTTCAAAAAACGCTTCCCAAAACTTGAACCTGTGGTATCATAATTCAGTATTAATGAATAGTTGAGACATCATCATACAGCTCAGAGAGATATCTCATTCTTTCCTAATCATCTTTATGTAGTTCCCTTGCTTGATTCTTTCAAGGAAAAAAATATGAATAAATTCATTTTGGTATTGCACCAATTTGACATTTGATCTACATCTTTAACCATTTTTATCCATGACTAATGTTTTGCATTGATGTAGTCATATACTCATATATGGTTATATGGTCCTTTTGTCGATCGGTGATTAAAATCACCAGACTTTGAAAAATTGGATGGAAGGAATTTAAATGGTCAAGAAACATGAGTAAAGTACCAAAATATGATATAGTGAAATTAACATAAAACTCATTGAAATTGACATAAAATCCATAAAGTTCCCATGAGCAGGACTAATAAGGCTAGTAGATAAGGTCATAAGGGATGACAACATTTCGAGTACACCACTCAGGTTATAGATTCTCATAACCAAACCAAGACATACTTTTTGCCGGTGCAGAGTTGAGGCACCAAGACATTATTTTTGTCATAAAAACTGATACGTTCTATTTACATTTAAAAGCAAGAAGTGATAAAAAGAGAAAGGCCTTAACTAATTACAACCACCGCACATAACACATTCATGATTAGCCGAAAATAATTCCTATTTTCCTGAATATTTTGACATGCCAATAGCACAGGAAAACCCACAACTTAATAATACAACCACTCATTTGGCACATCATAAACAGGAATATGCATGCCCGTTTCTATTATAGGCATCACCAAGCTTTCTAGGTCATCGGAAGATCAGCTTCATTGCGTTACTGGGATCAGTTATAAAGAATGGGTCTAGTTTCTTAAGGATCTACTAGGTGTTGTTTGAGCGCTAAATTGCTGAATCTCCGGGAATGAATCTAGTGTGCTTCTTGGATTCGGCCTTGTTGGAAATGCTGAGTAGTCATTCAAAAAATATCCAGTTTGGCCAGTGGGAGGATAGGATGGGTGTTGCGGGGAGAGGTAACAGCTCCGGCGTGCTGGTTCATGTTGCCTCAGAGGGCTTGAACAAGGAGATACAGGCAACGATGTGATACTTCTTGTACAGTCCCTGTAGAAGAAATCATGCAAATAAGATTATATTCTGAAACTCTATGGCAGTAAGGCCATAGAGTTTAACAACAGTTAATTTCTAGTATTTTCAGTACCTTGAGCTGGTCATGACTCTGGGGACCTCAAGAGACCAAATGTTGTTTCGGCAGGGAGGTAAGTCACTAGCCGGCTATAAACATGAATAAAAAAACAAAAGCATATTATATCCTCTTACACAGCACAATTATAAAGATATAAATTCACAGTGTAGAATTGTAGCAATAGTACAATACAAATACACAGGTCTTGTAATACTATTATTGTTGGGTTTACTTTTTAAAATGAAATTTCAAGTTTTAATATGGTTTGCCAGATTATTGTGCTCCAAAGTGTAATTCGATTCTTGTAAGCCTTAAGAGCGAGCAAACGAACAGCAAGATTGATATGGTCTAATGAGCCACTATCTTGGTGGCATGCTAACCATCATACGCCAGCCTATTATATAGATATACATATTCACTCTTCCTATTCCTTTTCTTCATATTCACTCTTCCTATTAAGTTAGTTATAGGACTGATTTCAAAGTTAATGTTTGAGGCCGTATACGTTGGTTAGTATCTTTATATTAGGCCGGTGGGATAACTACATTTATATTGGAGTTGATGAAAAGCAACAAAAAATGTACTACGTATTAATTTTGCCCGCATGAGACCACAAGTATGAGAACCACAAAGACTTTAGCAGAAAATATATGTTCATAGATATTTACCAGGGTGAGAATTCCATTGTTGAGGCAAGAATGAGTATCCTTATTTACAACATTAACATGGGCTAATCCTTTCGCCCCCCTTAGATCAGTAATAAAAGGGTGGTCCAGAAGCTGTGCCGCTGTAGGACGTGCGGATGGCTCTCGCTGCAAACATAACTTTATAAAACTTTTAGCATCATTTGATAGGTGGACAGGTATTTCAGGCATATCTTTGCTGTTTCCAATTTTAAATATGGCAGCAACCTGTCAGTCACAAGAAGAAAGTGACCAAAATTGAGCATTAGTTCTTCGACACAGACTCAACAAAAGATGAGTCCATTGGTATGAACGAATTTCATTTATCTCACCCCTTCATATTGACTCCAAGGTGGTTTCGATGTTGCCATTTCAATTATCGTACACCCTAAGCTCCATATATCCACTGCAAGGCTGTAGCCATTTGTATTCATAACTACCTGGAAGGTAGGTAGACGCAGATGTTGGACCGTCCAAATTTCAAACACGAACTTACCAAAACAAATTAAGCCGAGGTAGTTGAAGAGAAATGTAGGTATACCTCAGGTGCCATCCAATAGGGGCTGCCTTTGAAAGATAGCATTGAAGTGGACGAATTAATCTGGCAAGCAATAAGGACGGATAGTTTTAGACAATGCAATATTGCAATAATATCAAAGCAAACACTATTTCTAGATTTTCCAATCAGAAAGAACATTCCTCAGGGAAAAAAATACATTTTTATTGAGGCAAGAACCTCAGCATAAAGATGTGCATTGAAGGCTAAGAATGCAGGAGGAGCAATCTTTCATCATAAGATAGTAACTTTTTAGCAATCATGTGACCACTAACATGTTGAGAATAAAAAACATTATTGTTATCAGAATTTATAACAATTTTTCTAATGGCGTGCTTAACGTACTCCATCGTTCCAAAAAATAATCCTACTAGGTGAATGTACCATTTTTAAAAGTCAAGGCACTTACCTATACAACAACAACATCAAAGCCTTAGTTTCAAAAGATTTTGGAGTCGGCTAACATGATATCGGAGCAAAAAGGAAAAGAAAGATAAGAAAGATAAAAAGATAAAGTATGATAAAAAAGATAAGTGAAAGATAAAGATAAGATAGAGATAATATATATATATATATATATATATATATATATATATATATATATATATATATATATATATAAGATCAAAAATATAAGGTAGGACTCTTTGTATGGGACTGTAGAAGGATTAAAAGTTCTGAAAAAATATCGCCAAGGGGATACAAGCTCATTGAAAATATTCAGTGAACTTTGGTAATTTGAAAGGCCAATTAGTGTTAAAGCAGCCGAAACAGCATTATTTGAATGGTTACATGAGGGGGAAATCAGGAAATGCACAAGTCTCAGACAAAGATAAGTTGATACCTACATGCTTAGCCATGCCAAAATCAGCAAGTTTGATTTCACCATCTGGATCTACTAATATATTTGCTCCTTTGATATCCCTGTCAAAAACAATGCCTTTTAAAAGCTATAATTTTGAAGACTAGTTATTGCTCAACAGTTAACATAACTTCATTACAAGCACAAAGATTACCTATGCACAGTGTTTCTTGCATGCAAGTATGCAAGGCCAGATAGAATTTTTCTGGCATAGTTCTGAATAACTGGTTCCTTAAATGGCCCATATTCTTGCAACAATTTATGGATGGAACCTCCAGAAACATACTCCAAGTAAACTGAGAGTGTTTCTTCACCCTAAGAGAAAA